TAGCAACGGTTGATCTAATGTCCCTTGCAAGAGATTAAGACTGTAGCAATGGTTATATCTGTTGCTAAATGATGTCTCTAGCAACGGTTTTATTTATTTGTTGCCAGAACCTATTGCCACGGTGGAAGAGGTATTGGTTTGGTATCCGTCGCTAATCCATTGCTATAGGTCTTTAGCAACAGTTTTAAGGATATCTCGCAACGGTTTTGTCCATTGCTAGAAATCAAATTTCTTGTTGTGGGATTACTATTCCATTGGTTCTGATTGCCAACAAGATCGATGAATCTTGGCATGGGAAGCAACCTCTCTTGTTGGCTAGGGCCATTTTGTTTGCGGAATTGGGCTCTTCAATGTATTCAGGTCTATCTGCATTTGTGATATAATGTTGATTAGTTGATTGAGTGGCATCTGTTTGGAATTTGTTTGTAGCCTTGGATCGAATGGTGTCTACCATCTAGTAGGATCTTGTAATTATTGCTTTGATATATACCAAGGGTTATAGCCATGGCTGAGGCAAAAGATGGGAGAAAGGAGAAACAAAATACAAGGGAGAGAGAGAAAGAGAATAATAAATCAAAACTGCCCTTTCTTTCTCTTCCAATCAATTTATATGTATATTACATTACAATAAAACGATTTAGTGACAGATTGGAAGCAAACTAAGGCCATGTTTGAAAGTGCTTATTTGAAAAATAAGTTAAGAGAAAGTTGTAGGTATGGCATTATAGAGATGGTTAAGTTCTGGAGGTAAAATGTAGGATGTTGGGAAGAATAATAGTGTTAACGACGAGATTGGATTAGGAGGATGAAAATGAAACTTACTAGGACTAGAATGCTTAATTGCTCAAACCGATAGAATAATTAGAGCAGGGAATATCGAATGACCTAAATCTAATCTCAATAATCCCCATTTCATGTTATGAACTCTGTTATTTATAAACAAAGGGAGGGATCACTTTGTGTGTGGTGCAAGAATTCTAAAATATTTCCTACGTGATCAAAGGCTCACTTTATGCATAGGCAAGGATCAAGAATTTCAAAATATTCTTCAACTGGTTTAGGACTCTAGTCCCTAGGTTGCTCCAATTAGGACACATGCCAGGCTGCCATGTAGGGAACATACTCACTTTGATTACGACGCCTGTAGTCTCCTATTACATGTCATCATCTCACGGGAGACAATATCTGCAAACAACTTTTTCAATTATTTACTCCCTAGACCACATTTTACTTTATTTGCTTTGTCTTACATCCCATGAAAGGTTCGTGTGTGAAAGGTATTTGCGACTGGCTTCTAAGGGAGAGTACATGGTCCTCCTTAGACAAGTGTTGCTAACCAGATGACTGTGGAACCTGCAGTCTTGTTATGACAATTATTTTGTGGCAATACTTCAAGTATTATATAAGTCTATCCTCTTACACAAGTGCTTATTAGAGCATTTGATGAAAAAGCACTTATTTTAAATATAGGTAATAGAAGGTATTTTTAGAACGATATGACAGGCCAAGATAAAAGAAATAAGTACTTGCTGAATAAAGAAATCGCATTTGCACCCCACAGCACATCCCCAAATGTGTATTGCAAACATCTATCAATGACATGTATGAAAAATGTTCCCAATGCATGCTGAGATGTGCATGTGGGCTGCCCGTGGGGTGCACTCTGTGGGGCATAGATGTGAACTCTTGAAGAAGTATTTAAAAATAAGCCCAAAATTTGGACTTCTCAAATAATTGCTTATTCTTAAAATAAACACTTATTTTAAACTTATTTTCTAAACACAAATAAATGCTTGTTGCATGGTGTCTCCTAACCCAAAATAATTTCTTATTCAAATAATCACTTATTTTTAAATACTCCCAAACTTACCTAACACTATTAATTAACTGCTTAACAACTTTTAACAAACTCCCAAACCAAATACAACAGAATGACACCGCCTACTAAACGTTTTTTCCCCAGCTACAACTTCAACTGTACGTCACATGCATCTCAACCACCTACGATTTGCTTCTTTTTATGGCTTAAAGAATGCAGATCAAATCTTATCTACTATTCTGATATCACATTCAGCCTAGCTATATGTTAAGATTACTGACATTATTCAGTCGGTGTAAATTTGGACATAGCCCACCAAAGAAAGGAACATCTTTTGGACCACAATTAAAAAGGATTTAAGCACAATTAATTGTTGCACAGAAAACTTTTGCTGTGAATTCCTTCCATCTTGTTGGAACCCCATTGAAGACATTGAATTCAACTGTGTTAAATGTGGGTATGATTCAGTAACAGTTGCCCACATTCTATATCTTTGTAATTGTTCTGATCAATAAATTTTTACACCTAGAAAATTCTGTTGCATCACCCAAAATCGTTGGTATCACAAAATGGCTATTAATTAAACAATAGGAATCTTCATCTTTCTTTTAAGGTAAAAAGACCCCCCTATTATGCGTCAGTGGTAAGGCTGTTCATAAGAATACCCAACCCGATCAAACCGATCAACCTAGACCGACCCAATTCGAGTCGGTCGGGTTTTCATCAGTACCGGTCGGTTTCGGGTTGGGCAAATATATAAACCGATATATTGGGTCAGTTTCGGTTTTCTTGTGTGAAAACCGAAATTAACCCAACCCGAACTAGTAGAAGACTAGTTCGGTAGTTCCTAGTTTGAGTAGTTTCCTACTTAACTATAACTAGTCTTCTACTAGAACTAAAAGGCCCATTAGGCAATTACAATTAGAATAGACAATCTATCATATTTTCTAACTTTCTATAATCTTTTACACCAAATAGGCAACCCATTAGGCAATTACAATTAGAATTCAATTAGGTGTCCTTTGTACAGGAGTAAAACCGAATCCGACCCAAACCGATAATCCGACCAGTGAGTCAGTTTCGGTTTCCACTTCAGATAATCCGACCAGGTCGGGTCGGTTAGGAAAACCCCAAAAAACTGACCCAACCCAATCCGTGAACACCCCTAGTCAGTGACAAAGATGCTACATTTTAATTTGCAACAAAGACCTCCTGAATTTTATGTTACAACAAATACCCCCTCAACCGTTAAGGCGTTAAATTATCAAAACATCTCATTTAACATTTTCTATTTTTTTCTTGCCATTTTCTTTTAATACTTAACTAACCCAAAAATACCTTTAAATGTTGCCGAACAAGGAAAAAATCTCTGACAAGCTTATTGGTGACCTAAAAATACCAGTGTGTTCATTTTTTTACGCAAAAAAAAAAAAAAAAACATAAATATAACTGATTATGTTGTTAAAATACTGAAACAAAACTCAGAATATAGCACCAGAGGTTTGACTGTAAAACGACCTTAAATCAGTTGGAAAAGACATTCTCGATTTTAAGGAAAAACCATGGAAGAAATTACATGTTATAAGTCCTTTGTAGTGGAAAAGATCACAAGTTTACAGGTCTAACTGACCCAGCAATACCAGAGGTTTGACTGTTAAACTTTAGCAACACAATATAGCACCCTTATTACCTAATCCGTTAAGTTGTTTGCAGTGCCACATTTGTAGAACTAATGATAAGGTTTTACACTAGTTCGGTTCGTTTAACCGAACCGTGAGCATTACTTGTGGTCTCGGATTTTCTTTTCACATCTCTTGCCAGTGGTACTGCTATTTCCTCCCCTGAGAGCTGACACCGGTAGTATTGTCAAGCTAATTTGCTGAAAGGGTAATTTGAGAATTTAAAAAATTAAAATAATTAAATAAAAATCTTTTTTTTTAATTTAGCTGAATTGGTAATTTAAGAATTTAAAAAAATTAAAATAATTAAATGAAAATAAAAATGTTAACGGGAGCCTTTATCTAAAAGCTAAAGTTAGGAGGACTTTGTTGAAAATTAAAATATAGGACTCTTTGTCACTGATCCTATAATACAGGGGGATCTTTATAGTTTAATCACATTTTTACTTTATTGATTCCTTTTTGATAGACTTTTGTGCTGGCATCTACTTTGCAAATGAATAATGCATATGCTCTCAAAAATAGCACATGCCCAGCTTGAATCTGCTTTCCACAAAATTTGAATAGGTTCAAATTGATAGAAGCAGCAACCTTGTGCGGCACAAAGGATAAGTGAATCAAGGGTGCTGTAATTGGTTACCCTGTTTGACAGGAATGAACTCATTGGGTTCCCACATGAGCTTGCGTCATGCATGACGCACTAAGAATAGTAAACTTTTCGATCCAATGGTCAGGTGTTCTTTCTTAGCGCTGCAGAATTGAACAAGAGGAATAAAAAGGAATCAAATAAGGGTAAATTTTTTAAACTAGGATGGAAAAGATTATTTATTTTTATTCAAAGATTATTTCATTTTTTATATCTTCCTAATCTATTTTAATGCTAGCAAGATGCATATTTAGCACTCACCAGTCAGGAAGTCACCACTGCTATTTTTTTTGGTGAAAATGCAATTTCATTACTCACACACTGTAATTTCACGTATTTACTAAAACCTATCGTATGATTAAAACACCTCTATGATTTGCAACCGTTTTATATAATTAACCTTCTTATCAAGGACCTTGGTCACATAAACTCTTAAAAAACGAGTTTAACATATGAATGATCATAAATCCTGGGTTTTTATTCCAAAAATTCCTTAACAATTTTTTATAACACACGCAGTCTATGCCTTCTTCAAATTAAAGGTTGATAAGAGAACTATCAGGAGATATTTTTGAAATATAAAAAATGATGATCCATGTTCTTTCACATTTTCCACTAGGTTAAAGACGTCACGTGTTGAGGTCCAACTCGGGTTGGTCCTAGTTACCACTTACACTATTTGTAGTTCAGGCCCATTCAAATTTTGATGAAAACCCAACCTGAGTCCACCAATCCCGTTGTTGGTCATTCTAAGATCGAAATATAAAATGTTTTTGACAGAGAGAATCTATTTAGTAAAAACACTTATAAATTAGAGGAAAAGTTTTAATAAATGCATAAAACTATAAGGAGTGTCTAAGTAAATGACCCTTGAGGAAAAACAAAACTGTTTGCATCTAAATTCTCTAATCTAATCCTGTTTTGTAGATCCAGATCTACAATAACAAGAGAGTTCATTGGTAGATTAAAGATACAGAAGAAACAAAATATGACAAACACCTTTTCTATCTTTTTTTGTCATGGATATTTGCTAGTTTGATACAGAGAAATTAAAAAAAAAAAAGGCTTATAGTGCTTGAGATCCAATAAGCTTTGTTAATCCAAAAGTAATGGCCATAGCCAACCATCCACCAATTAGAACCCTGAAACAAGCCTTCCCCACCGGTGCCTTTCCCATGGCCGCCCCTAGACCTCCAAATACCAACAACGCCAAACTGGAGACTGCAACCACCACCCCCAGCCTCACTCTGTATTCTTTGATGAAGGACGCGGCCAGCAGCGGAACCATAGCTCCGATGGCAAAGGTGAGAGTGGACGCTGCCGCAGCCTGGAATGGATTCGGCAGTTTCTCCTTCTTGTTTTCTTCATTGCTCTCGCTGTCATCTCTCGACCTGTTCTCTCTTTTCATCTGAGCCACTTCTATGTCCAATTGCGAGTAAACCGAGACAAATTCTCCTATCGCCATACTGCATGCTCCGGCGACCAATCCGGCAAAGCCGGTAAYGATCATCGCTTTCGCATCTTGTTTCACCGCGCCAACACCCATCATTAGTGATGCGGTTGAGAYCAGCCCATCGTTTGCACCAAGCACTGCGGCTCGGAGCCACTGGGCTCTTTGGGTGTAGTCGAAATCCTTCACTTCGACTATCTGTCCTTCAACATCGTTGCTGTGGACGGCCAGTTTGGCGTCGTTGAGGGTTGGTTGATCTGCAGAGTCACAGACTGCCATGGAGGAGAAAAATGGAAAGAAAATTCTGAACGTCTAAGGTGGATGAATGGAAGATGAAAGGCGTGTGGAAGACACACGCCCCCTTTGGGTATTTATTGAAAAAGAATCTTATGTCGCGTGGTAGTGATGGAGACAGGTGGGGACTCTTTATTAATTATTTTAATGGATTTTTTTTTTTTCTTATCAATGGGTTCCGTTCTATGTGCTTAATTTAATAGTTTTATTGGAAACTTACTTGAACATCACCTCTGATTTTTGTGTTACATTCAAAAATGGAAGATGAAAGGCGTGTGGAAGACACACTCCCCCTTTGGCTAAACCGTCATTCTCCCTTTAAACTTTTACTTTGAATTCTCTTAATTCACCCCCCCCCCCCCGAGTTGCATTTAAGGCCCCCATTCGTTTTCGTTTTACATTTAAGGTCCTTCGAGTTAGCAATTTTTTCATTTTGGAGAAAGTTATTTATTCATCTAAGAAATAGGAATCAATGTTTTCAAAATTGGACTGGACTGGATGATCGGATCGGAAAAACAGAAACTGGTCAGCTGATTGGTTTTGTTTAACCCCCAAATCACTTTTTGGCCAAAATAGTTGATTTGGTCAATGAATCGTTGACCTAGACGTTTGAACCGTCAAACCGTTTGACTCTAGAATGGTTTTTGGCCTTTTTTGGGTTTTTCAATTTTTTTTTTTTATTCTTCCTATCAAAGCAGGTTGTCCGTTTGGACTGGACGGTTGGACCGTTTGACCCAGGAACCAAACCCTAGAATGGTTCCATGTCCAATCCAATTTAAAAAACCTTGATAGGGATACCTAGGAAAATAAACATTCTCTAATCCCCACATAAATCTGATAAAAGAACAAGGATTTTTTAGCGAATAGAAATCAAAATCATATTAACCTAACTTCCCCTCTCAAAATTGTCAAATAGTTCAGGAATAATATAAGTAATTTACCTTATTTAGTATTATTTGAGAGTTTTTAAATCCAAACCTCTCAGCCTTTCAAATTCACTAGGGATGATGTCACAAGTGGGCAACTTACCAAATTGGCGTGTGGTTAATAGAGATGGCTTTTCAGAGTAAAGATTTAGGTGGCATTGAAAGGAGTACAAATCCAAATATGTATAAAGCAAATGCATACAAAATAGTACAAAATACAAGGTTTTGCATTTTACATATTTATATTTGTATTTCATCAAAACTGAGCCTAATGTTTGAAAATAATGTATTCTTCTATTTTTTAAAGCTGCTGTAATAATAAAAAAATAGAGGACATTTTATTCATTATGAACCATCTAAAACACATTTTTGGACAAGGTTGATAAAATTCAAGATGGCCACCCCTACACCAAGAGGTAAAGTTTGGAATTAAAATAAAATGAATTATTTGAAATACATCTAAAAATGTTTGGCACATGGGCCACCACCAAGTCTACATATACCTATTGTTAATTTCCAGTTGCACCTCTAACCAAGTTTACATGTACCTATTCTCAATTATATTTCCAATTGCATGGTTTAGATGTTGAGTCAAGCAAGACCTAACTTTTGCAATTCATTTTTTTTTGGGAGAATGATTGTTCAGAACACCCTAAGAATTCTTAGCCCCATAGTACAGTTGGAGTAGGTGCCAGCTCGGAATTGATGCTAATACACAAGTAAGTATTAGTGTTTTAGGGTGGGGGTATTAGTCATTTTGAATTGTATAGGGTTGTAGTAGAATTCAGAATTATGCAATGTAGTGCAGTGTATTTTTCCATTTTTATTTTCTTTTTAATATCATTCCTGTTTCAATGTTGTCAAACGTCACGCCTTAATAAATTATTCAAAAAATGTGATTGATGATTAAATTTAAAAAAATCAAAAATAAAAAGTGATGCTGCTCAATCCAAGGTGGGTGCACAAACCGAGGTAGGTAATCAGATAGTCCTTGCCAACAATCAAGAAAGGATGTCAGAGGCCCAAGGAGTTATCCCTGAGTAGATACTGTGATGCTCAAGTCAATAGAAGGTGGTGAGGTGGATGGTCAGGCCGAGCAACAAGGGTGCTAGTCTGAGTAGAGTAACGGTATGGGTCCTAGAAGTTCGAATCCCTTACCTTGAGCAGGAGATGGTAATAGCATAGCGCTGAGGTCTTTGGGATAGAACCATATTCCCTAGTGGAGTTTCCCTCATCCCTCCTCCTATCCTTGGTCGTGCTTATCTGCGTGACATGTACCTGTCGTGGCTGAGAGGATAAGATAGGGGGCTATGGTAATAGCATAGCGCGGTCACGGCCGTGGAGTTGGTGTATGCCGCAAAGCTGGTCGGGGTGATCGGGCGATGACTGGGCGGCCACGTGTCATCTAAGGCTAGCTCAACCATGACCCAAACACCACTCCCCCAGTTCTGAAGTTGAGGAATGAAGTGCTCGGCTGAGGTGTAGCGCGATAGGGTGCTTTATTTCTCAGTTGAGGAACTCCAAGTTGAAGTCCTGGTTGAGTGTTTTGTCTCCTTCGAATTCCTCGGCACTTGGCAGAGCTTGTCGTCCACGCAATGTGGGTTATGGCTGAGGAGTTCTTCAATCGTCAGCAATGGAACTTCGAGAATCCGAACACCACTCCCCTTGAGAATTCTAACTTCGGAATTTGAGCGCCACTCTCCCAGTTCCAGAGTCGAGGAACTAAGCTGGGCTTCAAAGTTTGGGCTTCTCTGATGCTTGGCTGTGCTACATCACAAAAGGGCTCTTCGTTCTTCAGCAGAGGAACTTGCACTCAAAATTTTATAATCCGAACCACTCCCCCAGTTCCTAAGTCGAAGTGTGGAATGCCCAGTTGGGATGCAGCGCGGGCTCTTTTGGTTAGGGTCCGTCGTTGGGCATCTTGAGGAGACTTAAGGGGTTGGTTGGACTGGCGGTCTTGGGCGGACCGCGACGTCCACAGATTTGGTTGGATCGGTGCTTTAGGGCGGACCGCGACGTCCACAGATTTGGTTGGATCGGCGCTTTAGGGCGGACCGGTGCAGTTAATGCCTTTACCGCTGCTTGTCAAGAATGTCGCTTCGGTTCCCGAGGCCTCGCGCGTGCAGTGACAGTCACGTCGATTGGTCTTCCCAGGATTCGTCAGAGCAGCACTTAATCTCCACCATTGATCTAGCTTTGATTTGCGCTTCTGAGGGTTATATGAAGGGGAGGAAGGGCATTTCTCTTTCACTACTTGCAAAAGGAATTGCTTAGATAGCTCGACAAGGGGTTATTGGCATTGCTCGGCTTTTGCTCTGATTCTACAGCTTCAAGTTCGGTAAGATGTCTTCCTCTTCTTCTTCCTTTGGTTCTTCATCCAGTTCTAGTGGCTCCAATTATGAGTCTGAGGTTGGGGAATTTGAGGAAGTAGAGACGGAGAGGTTTTCCGAGGTCGAGGGGGCCGAGGTTGGTCCTTCCAGAGTGGAGGTAGAATTCCCCGCACAGGCTAGTAATTGATTCGGGACCACCCCCTGCATTTTGACTCCTGGGGACATGGCTCGGATCTGAACCCTGTATGCAATTCCTGAGGAGTTTGGGATGAAGTGTTCACAGGCTGGCGAGAGGCCAACGAATGCTCGGTCAGGCGAGGTATAGGTGTACGAGAGCAGCTTGGAAGCCGGGCTGAGGTTTCCTTTGGACGAGGGGGTAGTCATGGTGTTTGAATGGTACTGGGTGTTGCCGGTACAGCTGATGCTGAACTCTTTTAGATTTTTGGTCGGCCTTATGTTGTATTGTGCCATTCGTGACATCGAGTTGACCTTGGGTATGGTGAGATATATCCTCCAGCTGAAGCTTCACCAGTAGGGCTACTACTATTTCTTGACCAAGAAGAACATTAGAGTGTTGGTCGGGGCCCCATCCTCTCTAAAGCACTAGAAGGAGTTCTTCTTTGTGCATTGTCTTGGGGGCCTACCTTTCCCGGCCGCACTGCAGAAGCTGAGGACAAAGGTGCGGCAACCAATGTGGGACAAGCTTATCGGGGAGGAGAGATCGGTCCTAAGCATGATCGGTGAGATAGATGTGGTGGCGCACACATGCTTTGAGATGTTGATGCTCACTGGGCTGATGCGTAGGGTGGCTGGTCTGTCTTGTTGCTTTGGCTTATTTATCAAATCCTTCTCTCTTTGAACCTATACTTACTTTGTTATGATTCCACGGTGCATGTGTGGAAATGGCACGCAAGGAAGAGATCGTCCGCCGAATGAAGGAAAACCAACTGAGGCAAAGGGGGGGTGGGGTGCATGGTCCCAGACCCGTCTGGAGGTGGTCCCACCGCTGAGGTCTTCTGAGAGGGCATCCTTTCAACAGAAAAGGGCTCAGCAATGGGTTGATGATGAAAATGTGGTAGTGGTGGAACCAGAAGTTTATCGGGTTGTCGTTCCTCCTTTTCAACGGATGGAAGTGGGGGGCAGCAGCTCGGCCTACCACATGCCGCGGTGGACGGTCCATCCTAAAGATGGGCTTGAGACAGCTGGGGTGCCAAAGCAGCTTCTCCGCGGGCTTATGACCTCGGCCATCAGTCGGGAAGCCGGGGAAACTGGAAGCGGTGCCTTAGAATGCTCACTCATCCGAACTGTGGATCAAGTAAGTTCGTACTTGTTTCGATTGTTTTAACTAAGTTCCTTCGTGCTGAAATCGTTTCTTGTCCGCAGAACAAGTACTCGACAATTGCTCTGGTGGACCATCTTCGGGATCTACAGAGCATTTATGAGAGAGAGCACTCTGAATACTTGAACCAGAAGGCTCAATTGGCCGAGCTTCGAGTGGCTGGCGAGTGCACTACCGCGTTGGAAGCAGAGGTGGCCGAACTAAAGAACCAAATAGCTGAGCAAGCAAATGTCATTCGAAGCTTGAAGCAGCAAATTGTCGAGCTGAAGGCAGGGAGAGAGCAGGTGAAGAAGGAGGCCGTTGAAGTGGTGGTGGCTCAATTCAAGGGCTCGATTGAATTCCAACAAGAGATGGACAAGTACGCCTCGAGCTCCTATGAGGCAGGGTTCAACATCTTCCGGAGGAGGGCACTACATCACTGTTTGGAGCTGGCTATTGTCGCACAGGCTTGGGATGCATATGATGATGAGACCCTGCCCATTGTGGATAACCTTGTTGCTAATGAGGGCAACGG